AGTGAAAAATTTAAGGGGGTCTGAATACTTTCCGTACCCACTGTATATATATATATACATACAGTATATACACACACACACACACAAAAAAAAAATATATATATATACAATGTGATTTCCATTTGTGATCATGTGATTCATTTTCAAATGAAATTTTCAGATTTCATTTGAAAATGTTTCTCCAGTTTATACTTCTAACATTATATATATTTTAAAACTAAAATTAAAAGTAACAAAGTAATTTTTTCTTTAATACATTTTTACTTTAATACAGTTACAGTTTAGAAGCAGAAGCACACATTTTTTCCTCACACTGAATAAATGAGTCTTTAAACATAAAAATAAAGCTTCTCCAATGTTTCTCCAGTTTATACTTCTAACATTATATTTAAATTAAAACTAAAATTAAAAGTAACAAAATAATTTTTTCTTTAATACATTTTTACTTTAATACAGTTACAGTTTAGAAGCAGAAGCACACATTTTTTCCTCACACTGAATAAATGAGTCTTTAAACATAAAAATAATGCTGCCTTTATATTCTATTTATATTCCCTTTCGCAAGAGGATTATCATATTTGGGGTTCTTGGCATTAAAAAAAGCCCTGAACGAGCATGCCATCCTGATCCATGCCTAATTTATGCCTCCCACTGTCTTTCTAGTTCCTCAGGCTGACACAGACTAAACTGTTCGAGGCCACCAGTCACCAAAAAGTTCACTGCCCACGAGTCCATCCCCACTTGGATTCAGGACTCTCTTGTTTAAGCAGGCATACGTCAACAAGCATCACTGTTGTTCATGCCCTGGAGCTCTTTCATTGTGAGGAGCCCACAGGGGCTGTGAAGCTCTGTGAGAGTGGCCAGTTGGATCGGGTTTGGTGGTCTAGGACCTGTCTACCATAGCAGACCTTTGAGCCATGGCTTTCATAGTGGTTAACCTGTAAGGGCAGAGTGTTTGGCTCTGGCCAGAGTCATGAGGGAAGTGTGTCACACTGAGTTACACTGCAGTGCCAAGACAGAGCCAGATGCATTTAGTTCCCTCCCTTTTTGTCTCTCTCTCATTAACTATGTTATATCACACCAGCCAGTCTCTCTTACAGCAGATGCTGCTACTCTCCAGCAGTTGGAAAGAGATTGTTAAAGTAAACATCACTTTTACTAATGCCCATACTTACGGTTTGTGATTTGAACAAAACCATAACTTTAAAGTCAGTGTAAAGGCAATTCAGAGAATTGTTTCTAAGCACATTTTAAATGTTAGAAATGCATTACTGAAACATGTTACAAAGACTGTGAACTATGTAGTACTGAATTGTGGAGTTAGACCATTAAATAGTTTTTCCCAGGATGTTTTGGGCGGGTCTGAAATCAAGTCTCGATGACGCACTGGAGCCACCGAGCATGGCCCCTCCCCTAAAACTACAAGAGGTGTGTTCGACTTGAAGCAGCGATCTGTATTTAACATCAAAGTACAGTGAGAGCTATAGAGAGCAGACAGATGCTTTTGCTTTCGAATCGCTGTCGCGGTACTTTGATATCATATGCTGATCGGTCTGCGCAGCGCTGCTTCAAGTCCAACACACCTAATAAATAGAGTGCATCAGCATCAGTGGTTCGCCCGCTCAATCACGAGTTACTGATTACCGTTAGTTACAACAGCCTACAGTTTGCTAGCTTTGCCTTCGTCACGTAAATGCATAATACCTGGTTGCAATGATTTACAAAACAGCTCGGTCTCTTTATTTAAATTAAGCTGCTAGAGGGAGCATTCATTCAGGTTGTAGCGGTATTTGACAGTTGAGAGAGGCGGCAGCTTTCCTGCGAGTGGGCGTGGTTTCAGTGCAGACAGAGGACATGCCCCCAGCGTTTGAGAGCAGAGAATACTGCTTATTTTTTTCAAGATTTTGATACCTTATTTCCTTGCCATTTTTTTTTTTTATCATTCAAATTTGGCTGGTTGCTTAATAACACATTTTTCTGTGGTGTGACAAACTCAGAATACATATTTAATTTTGCTTTACATGGACTTTAAGTATTAAAGTTGAGTGTAAATGATCTCTCATTGTTTGTTTTATAGGCATGAATGATACTGCAAATCATTTGGCTTAACTGAAATAAAATTAAATATTAAAAAAAAAAACTAACTTTTTTTTTTATTTCTGCCAGTTGCCAAAGCAACATCTCTTATTTCAATTTAGCTTAAACTTCATGTACTAAAGTAACTAAAACTAAAATTGAAATAAAAAATTACATTTAAAAAAATAATTTAATTTAATTCAAAATAAATTAAAAATTGTTACTAAAATTGAAATAAAAAATGACTAAAATAGAGACTCATCTCTCATTTCAATTTAGTTTAACTTGATGTACTAAAAAACTGAAATAAAATTGAATAAAAACTTGGACATTTAAAAAAAAATTCATTTAAAATTTTAACTAAAATTAAAATGAAAAATTACAAAAAAAAATTTAATAAAACCATAATAGTATCTCAGTAGTCATCTCTGTGGAAAGCACTATGAGTTTCTCAAACAGAGCAGCCCGACACACAGACAAAGCATAGCAGGAGAAACAAAACTCCAAGACAAAATCAATACAACATGTTTGCCTTAAAATAAAGGCCATTTTGCTCACAGCTGAGACTAGACTTTGCACATAATGGTATTTTCTGTTTGCCATACGTCAGCTCACCCCACAAAATAACAAAATATTGCAATACACTACTGCAATGGACATGAAAGTAAAGATCCCAAACAATCATTTCTCATTTCCTCTGAAATGGTGTTGGTGTTGAAGAAACGGGTAAAGTACATATACTACAATGTCACTACATATTTTAGCATCCAAAGTGATTTGATTCAACATATTTCTGCCATCAGTTATGTTCATTAAGTAAAGGCCATGAAGCTATTTAAATATACAACTATTTAAATTCATTAAATAGACAGATGATATCTGTAAATAAACACACAATTTACTTAAGGGGATAGTTCACCCAATGAGAGATAGGTGGCGGCAATGCACTTATAAGTCTGCGATCCGCTGTAAAGCAAAAAGAAGAAGAAGGTGCGAACGCGAACGCGCTCAGGACAGTTCAGACATTGCAGTGCATCAGAGGTAAAAAAACTATAGAAATAC